CGACAACTTGAAAGCAACTTGTCATCATCGGTATGTTATCCACACTCAACAGCATATTAACAACAACATGATGACAACATATGTCAAATAATGAATGCTGCATATGCTGATAATATGCCAACCAAATGTTCTGTGCCAGTTTCTCTGATAAAAATGACGGACAGAATCGAACAGAAACAGACAAAATTTCTATCGGTTTCTGTTAATTGTCCGTATACAGATAAAATCAACAGCTTACAGCTGATAGAAATCATATCCATTTTTGTCCGATTTTGTCCATAATTTTTACCAGAGTTGTGCAAATATTTCGAAACAATGTTTAAGAGGTAATAGAGAATATATAAACTCATTATTTTTGAAACAACGTGTGTCCAGAAATATCGCATTTTTTAACAAAATGGCAATAAAATTATATTAGAAGAAATTTTTAAAGATTTCAAGACAACAAACTGTTTCAAAAACACTTCTAATATAACTATATTACTATTTAATCAAAATTGTATTAATTGATCAGAAAATGTTGTTAATTTTTATTCATATTTCTATTTTATTTTATTTTATTTTATTTTATTTTACTATATTATGTGTAATATGATTAATATAAAGTTGCAATGTACATACATCAGTTGCTTAGGATAATATATGTATATTTGTAAGTGTAAATAGAAATAAATATTTACAACTTGTATATAAATTTCAAAAACTATGTCTTTTTGCTGAAAAGTTACCATAAACGTGTGAAATTTCACATTATCAACACTTTGTTAGCATTGAACTACAATTAAAAAGTTTCATGTTTAAAGACATATGTGAGAACGGATGGAAATCATTATATATGTTTTGTTGCCATCATGTTTTCATCATGATGCTCAAGATAAAACGATTAATCATTTGTTAGTGACATGTTGTTGATATATTGCTGATAACATAACATATTACTATTGCTGATCGTTTGTTCTTAAAATTTCATCAATTGATTGCATCTATAAGCAGATATATTGTTGTATTCATTATGTGTCCTATTTCGATGTTAGCAAATATACGACAAATATATAGCAACACATGCAATGCATTAGTTCACTCAATATGCTGTATTATACTTGACTATCTGGGATGTAATGTATCCTGTAGAGCTGAAGCTCGCAAATTTAATTTTAATTATGTTAAAACTCATAAAAATTATCTTCTTTCAATTTTGACAAAAAAATTCGAAAACAAAGCAATTTAAAATTTCAACATAAAAATAGCGAAAATAACTCCAAAATAATGCAGGATTTCTGGATTTATGTTCATACCAACTTTTTTCTTATTTTTTGATTCCCAATCACCTCCCAAGCAATTGATTGCCATTTTTGAAACATTCTGTATTAATTTTTCTATTATATTTTTCTATTAATAAAAATTCTGTTAAAAATTATAAAATAAGAAATAAAAGAAGTAATACATTATTTTTCGAGATTAAAACTAATATCACAGTTTAAATAATTAGATAGACAACAGAATCTGCTCGATTTTTGTTACTAGTCTGCTGGCAGATCTGTTTAACTTTTTCCGTCAATTTGTCGCCTGAATATATTCTGTCTACCCGATAGAACTTAAGTTGAATGTGAACGCAGTTAATGCCAATTTGCTGATATGTTTCTGATCGAATCTGCTAGCAGTCTGCCGAGATACTACTAGCATTTTGCTTATTTGACAGCTTCTAAATAAGGAAAAGATCTTGTGCTTTACTTCATTCTAGTTTTACTTCATTCTATAAGATCAGAAGCATTAACTTGCTTACTAATAAATTTTCTTTTTCTATCTTATCATTCTCACCTTATATTTTTGAAGTTCACTAATCTTCGCTGTCATGAGATCGTGAAAGTGCGGATGAAATCGATATACCGAACCATCGATGCCTACTGTGACATTATTCTCTCCCATTTTGTTCAGCAATGCCGCTATTCCTGCGCTCACCAAGTGCGCTGCTCTCCTCGACACTACTGAGCATACATATCTCACATTTTCACAATCTTGATCACTCACATTTGGCATTCCTAGTTCAGCCAATACGTCTCGGCAATTCGTGTATCTTCCCTTAGGATCGCTGAAATTTACAGACATGTTTTCAATCTATATACATTTAAGTCTTTAGCTTTTTTATATCTTAATTGTTATTAATCATGTCTTGATCAATAGAATTTTATTAGACTTAATTATTGATAAGTAGTGTCTTTAGGGATTATATTAAACAAATTAAACACAAATGGCAATTAATCAACCAACAAATCAATTTAGTTCATACCCTTGTAGAAAAGTGTTACTGTGCACTACTAGTGCGCAATAGTGTCACTACTGAATACTTCTAGTGCGCAGTAGTGTCGCTACTTAACACTTCTAGTACGCAGTAGTGTCGTTACTTAGCACTTCTAATGCGGCATAGATTACATTTACAGATCTCCTTTAATCAGGTTTAATAACATCCGTAATTATAAAACCGGCCAATCATAACTATTCCTCTGAAGAATGGAATGACTGTGAAGTTTCATAACTACGGATGTTATTTGATTAAAGGGGACGTATAAATGTAGTTATAGTGTTCACTATTAAGCACTACTAGTGTGACGTAATGTCACTACTCAACTCTACTAATGCGACGATAGTGTCACTGCTAGGATAAGTAGTGCTGCCGCAGTGTAATATACGAAATGTGTGTGTGTGTGTGTGTGTGTGTGTGTGTGTGTGTGTGTGTGTGTGTGTGTGAGAGAGAGAGGAG